ACAAAGTATGAAACTGAGAGCTTGAAGAGCTGGCCTTGCAATCGTTGAAAATCTGTTTGGTTTTTGGTTCTGGTTTGCTATATTAGTCTGTGATATTCCTGCTTTCTGCTATCTGTGACTCAAAATACAGGATCTAGCTTTGTGAATCATGCGCTGAGCCCTCACTGTAATTTAGTTTTTTGGATTAGTGCAAAGTAAATGCTGACATACCACCAATATGTATGTAGCAGTAACAATATATATAGTATGGTCCGTCCCAGAAACTGATGGTTCCATGAGATTCACCCTTAATTTGCTCACTTTTTAAAGAGGAAAAATACTGTTTTCCAAATTATTCTAACACTGGAAAACTATTGGGCATAACTTTGTTTTCTCCTTAACCTGCAAGGAGGAGTGAGTCCTGGAACAGGTTTATTTTCTACCTGGTACATATGGTTTCCAAGACCTGATGCCTTTCTGAGCTGAACTGCTACTGTAGAGTGAATTAAAAAAGGCTGACACACTCTAGTTATGAAAGAGGAATGCTGACAGAAGTAGAGTGTAGATTTATCAAAGGTGTAAATTGATTGTAATGTCTGACTTTACAGTAGAGATATTTCAGTGCTTCATGACATTTGTAATTTAGGAACTACAGGACTAAAAAAGCACCTTATTCTGCAAAGGCTGTAAAGATGCCTTGTGGGTGTTACTTTCCTATTGCTTTGTAACATTTCTGAAGATAAAGGAGAAGAGATTAGAGCATTTAGGGAGGTGAAGAATGAAAATAGAACCATACTGTTATTGAACTTCCCCTGTTGCTCATCTTCATCTTATTGAGACAATAACGTTAACACAAATGGTTGATTCCCCTCGAAAAGTCAATTTTTGATGTGTGGAGGAAGGTATTATGTGCAATGGTTTATTGTTAATATTTATCTGAATATTTATTGCTAGTTATGATCAAAGCATGAAGCAGTTGTGTTATAATCCTGCAGCTGCTGTATAAACTGATTCCACATGTAATTTGAAAGAACAGTAAACACAATGCTGTCTTTTATTTCTCAAGTTCCTTTTCCTGTTAAGAGCTTTCAAAAGATACAGAAGGAATGACTTTTTCTGCCAGTGAAACATAGATGTTTTAGTAACATGCAGCAGCAGATTTTTTTTTCTTCAATTTCAGGGCAAAGAGAAACATGCCATACAACCGATTTTAGGAAAGAGGGCAGAAAAACCAATTTGTCTAAGCAGAACACACATACAAAATCAGGCTATTATACTCTTCAAAGGTGATTTTATTCAAATAGTTATTAGAAATATTAGTAAACAAACGATACATCTGGATAGGTGTAGAAAAGTGTAGTACTGGTCTCCTTCCCAGGGAGGGAGACCCAACAAATGTCAGATCCTGCAAGTCCTTGGATACTGAGCTGTTCCAGTAAAAATTAGAGATCCGGACATAAAGATAAAAAGGACATTGTTGAAGAATCCTGGTTTGCTATTTCATGTTCCAAAGGAGAGGTCTCTCTTGGTAGGCTTAGCCTGGACAGGAAGAGACACAGCAAGTCATGCTTCTGCTAGTGGCATTCCTTTTCTGGGGACTTTTTCACTTCTACTTGATATCTACTGCCCACTTACTCCTCTTTCCACTGTGCGTGTGGCACGAAGAAGGCAATGCACCAAGCTCAGCTACAGACAGACAGTAAAATCAGAGGTATCTCAGATTATTATGTGAAGACTAATTCTGAAACTTTGCTTTTAAATACTTTGTCTGCTCTTAGTGTTGCCAGAGGAATGAGATTAAAAATAGACCTGAGTCCTGATGGCACTGGTAATTTAGAAACAATTCTACTGCTTTATATATAAGTTATTTGTCATCTTCTTTCCTTGTTCGTTAGCACTAAAGGGCATGTGCGTGGTAGCACAATCTTCATGTTTTATAATCCTTCCTGTGCTTCTGTCACTTTGCTCCCTAATCCAAAATCCTAATTCCCTGTGACATCCCTATTAGTTGCTCTGAAGATTCTGTTGCCACAGAGGATTATGACATCAGGCCATGACTGTTAGCAGCAGGAGTAGATGAACTCTCTGAGACAACGAGCCTTTTATGATTCAAATGGCCCATAGTACTAAGAAGTGAGGCCAAGTACCCAGCATCTGTGCTGTCAAGACTGACTCTAAAGATGGCAGATCAGGCTTCAAGCTTCCTTGTGGTATTGTCGGACTTTCAAAATTCCTCATCATTGTGGGTTTTTTTCCTTTTTCCTTCCCCCCCCCCCCCGGGCTGCTGAAAAGTGCTGTTCCCACCTTCACAGTTGATTTCTGTTAAATACAATTCAGATACCATAGTGCAGGCCATGAATTCAAGTACTTTGCTCTCTGAGCTCTATCATATGAAGACTTCAAGCCAAGGTACTGAGCCTCATGCAGTCTTATTCCTTGAATAGAGTCTTTTCTCTTGCAGCATCTAGACAAAGGATATGCCCGTTGTCAAGTCTAGTTAGTGATTAACGTGTTCTCAGAAAATGTAGGAAAATTGCAGAATCGTTTTTGAAAATGGTGTTCCGCTCTGCTTCTCTGTAATGGTCTTTATAGTTGAGGCTGTAGCAAGTTTGCATAGAGTCACAGCTGCTTTCTGGTTTAATTTTTAAAATATAGGCATAGATAGCTTGCTTGTTAATACTTCTAGCAGTATTGGCATTCATGATTGAAGTTAGAGGTTAGATAGTGGGGTAGTAATGTGCAGGAGAGGTAATCTGTTCCTCATTCCTTATCCTCAGATAATTTAGACATTTTAGGGACAATGACAACTAATATTCTATTTCAGATTGTTAAATGTTATCCCTTCTTTTTCTTGGCCAGAGTAAGTCTGCAGCAAGTATCAGACCACAAACTGATGCACAGGTATATATATTTATATCCATGATTTTTACAAGAGTAAAGGCAGGAGGGAGGCCTGTACATACATGTGCCTGCCCGCCCACACTGGAAAGTCTGTCAGCTCTGTTCTAATCTAGAAGTGATCTGTTAATTTCACACTGTGCCACTGAGACCACTGGGATTCATATGGCTGCAAATGAGAGTCAGGTGGGTGGGAAGAAGAGGTGGAGGGGAGGAGAAGAGTGTTGAAAAATGCTGCTCAACTTTCTTTCAGCATGGCAACAAGGGGTTTTCGTGCTGTGGCTGCTGCTGTCACTTCTTTTCAATAGGTGAACTTTCCTTTAGGGATTTTGTTGTCATCTTCTATCAACTGCACTTATGCTTCTACCTAGAGGTTTCGGGGTTTGGTTGGTTGGTTTCTTATAGCAGTGTAATAAATTCTGGAAGAAGCTCAGGTTTTTGTTAACATTCAGTCAAACTCTACTTACTTAGTCACATGTTCATTCTCATTGCAGGAGAGATGAAAAGAAATGCAGATAGCTGAAAAACTACTGAAATTCACCCATTCTGTTCTTTCAGTGAGGAAAGGTGGTCTGGTGGGGAGAGCTGAAACTCTGCACCAAAGCTTTAAGGGTCTATTCCTGGCTTGGTCTTTGAATTGTTGGGAACATTGTGACCTGACATGGGACATTAGTTAGATGTGGCTTCTACGAGGGCTTGTAAATACAGAAGCGCCCTGGTGTGCAATCTCAGTATCAAAGATACTGAATAATGGTGGAATTCAGTGAAATCACTATGGATGGTGTCTGATGGAGGTTGAAGGGTTTCATTTTATGTTAAAATATTTCAAAATGCTGTTTCTGCTTTGGTCTGTTCTATCTAATCTATAAAATACAGATGGTAGTGTTGATGTGATGAAGAAATAAGGAAAGGACTGAGTCTTGCGGAGTTGCTGTTGCTAGCAAAGACTGAAGAAAGATGCTGGGATGGGTGAAACAGTTATTTCTTTGTTCTTATGTTATTCTCCTAAACCAAAAGTGGCTAATGAACTTATCTCAGGCAGCCTAGCCAATTGATACTTTATTATCTGCTTTATTTCTTTCATTTCTTATTTTCCAACACATACAGGATATAGCATAGTAGGTATGTCAAAGGAATATGTACATTTTATTTAAAAACCTGCACAACAGGAGTGACATACCTTTGTCTAGAATGCTTGAATATAAAATACTTACTCAGGAAGTAACTTGTAAACTCATATTCTTGTGATCTATGACTTGCAGCTTCATGCCTGATCTCAGATGATCCAGAATCCAGCTACCTCCTTGTGGATTACAGTAGCTGTAATTCAGAGTCTCTCTGACCTGAAGATTACTTTTTTCCCTATTTCCTGGAGTTTGTCTTTGCAAGGCTTACCTGAGTAGGATAGCAACTGTTAGCTGCAAATCACATAACAATGAAAGACTGTTCTGATAGTGGTGGCTGCTTCCTTCTCTGCTTCCACCAAAAGCATGGAAAGCAGGCAAAAAAGAGAAGTGTTGTGGATAAATGTCATGCCCTTCTGGGGACTTTATTGGCATGTTTCCAGAGGAACCAATAAAATAGGTAGAGTGTTTGGTTCTTGTTTGGCTGACTTTTATTAACCTATAAAGGCAAGTTGTAGCCAGCTGAGGCTTCAAAACTGCAGTTTGAATCTACATTATCAGTGTTCTTTGGGTATGATGAGGCATTTTTCAGGGACCTATTAATTAGCTTTCATTTCTGTAAGGGGATCAAACTTCTAGGGAAGCACAACAACCTGACCATGCTTGTTGGCCTGGCATCACCCCTGTTTCACTGTAAAATTGTTTGAGCAAGTTGGGAACGTATGAGTTGGGCCTGCCTAAGAGGGAATATGTTGCTGTTCCCTTTTCCTTGCTCTGTGTTATAGTTTGGTGTTTTGTTGTGAGGTGAACACTGTCTTTGTGCTCTTTTTACCTGAGTTTCTTGCACGTCCAGCAATGGAGCAGTGTTTGGTTAAGTGCTTTCTCTCTTCTGCATGAGGATCCTGATGGTCATGATAGTGATGAATTGAAGATATTGTGGGCCTGACCCAGTGATTCTTTCAGCTTTATTTCACTCTTTTCTTGTCATCCTTTCTCCAGGGCCGAGCACTACCTGCCAGGAAGATTCCTGTGCGAATCAGGGCATCTGTAATCAGCAGTGGGAAGGCTTCACCTGTGACTGCTCCATGACTTCTTATTCTGGGAGCCAGTGCAATGATCGTAAGTAGACTTTTCAGTGCATTGGTGACCTGTGAGTTCTGATACATGAGAGTACAGAAAATACATGATTCATTGCTCTTTCAATTGCAATACAACTTTCCCTGTGTCAAATCCAAACTTTTTTTCTTGGAAATTTCTTTAAACCTACAGGAGGTTATATTTTTTTTTTCACCTTAAAATGAAAATATGCAATTCAGCATGTATGGGTTTTGTTTGGCTGGTTTTCGTGGGTTTTTTTCTCTGCTTCTTTTTGAATGCTAACTTTACCAGTCCAATGGTGATAATTGATGTTGCTGGAATTCCTGGTTTAGAGAAACCAGGAATGACTTTGCAGATATTGTATGTAATATTTTCATAGGTAAAAATGTCTAGGTTTTGTGTACTGAATTATGCTTTGAGATTTTCATTCAAACTTTGGTGAAAAAGGCATGAAATGCATGTAAAATGAGTAGTGTTCTAGATAGTAGTGTTCTAGTCTTCTACTGAAATACTAGCTGAATGCTGAAATGCTGAGTAATGTTTCTGAGAATGTTCACTTAAAACCAGCGATCAGTTAAATACACAGCAGAACAATTGTGCTTCTTGGTATTGATTTGCTTAATCTCAAAACATTTAATGTTCTTGGCCAAGTACTACTAGAATCTCTGGTAAAATAATTCAACAAACCCCTTAAGTCTGCCTTTAGGGGACAGCTAATCAGCTTTTTGACATTCCCTCTGCTCATCATGGTTTGGCCTTGGCTCCTGCCTGGAGGGAACAGATCACTTCAGCTTTACTGTCTGCCTGCTTTTCTTGTTTGAGGTGACTGCCCCCTTCTCCCTGGCTTGCTCCAAGGCAGGGAACGAAGGAATACATCATGAGTGCTGTAGTAAGTGTAACAGTAGGCTTCAATAATTTGGTTCACTGACTGTGTAAATTTTAAACACAGAAAAAACTGCTTTTCATTAAGGTATTTGTGGTAGACTTAATTAGTGGTACCAACAAGGTGCATGTCCAAGGCCACAGCACTGTCATATCTGCAACCTTCCCCTAAAAGTCTGAGACATAACTGAGTTGATGGCACATGTGACAGGCTGTGTAGCGCATGGTGACAATCCGTCTCTGCTGAAGGCCAAAATGCCTGCTTTTCTGAGTCATTCATAGTATGTAGTGTTGTCTGTGTTGGTCTCCCATTTCTTCCAGCATATTTCTCTCAAGCAGATATTGGAAAGGCCTACCAGCATTCATGCTTTGACAGGGGCTGTATAAACAAGATGCTACTGACACAGATTCATAGACTGTAATGCTATGTCTGGTTTTGGATTGCTTTGGAATTCAGAATGTTTCCTTTTGGTCCAGAAGAAACATTTCATGTTGGAGTCACAAGATCTGGTGCCAATTTTCTGCATTTTTATTTTGGTTTGCTTTTATCAATTGGACACCCACTTTGCCACTCTCAAGTTACTTGTTCAGTCAATCAGTTTAGACTTGCTAAGGGTGGCACACAAATGTGTGAAAGAAAAACTGCTTTGAATTCTGTTGGGTTGCATTTAAATACATATCCAGGAAATCTCTTAGGTTATTGATACTGTGGGGTTTGTTTTTAATGTGTTTGGCTTCACAACTCCAGAACATTGCTGTGCCCTTGTTAAGCTGTTGATAATGGCTCAGAGCAGGCCCAGAAGCATCAACAAGAGTCAGGTTCCTGTGTCTGTAATTGGGGATTTCTTGCTGATTTTTAGAGCTGGCAGCTGGAAATAATGCTGAGAAGGGAGCTTGAAATGAGTGGGGGAGCTGTGGACAGTGTAGGAGCCAGCCTCTAGTTATCAGGCCTGGCTGGTAATTTACAAATGCAGGCAGAAGGATGTGGGCTTCAAAGTGATCTGGAAAGGTAAGTCATGTGGAGTCCTTCTGGAACATGACAAGACTTCATCCTGGACCTTCAAAAAGTACGTATGACTTTTTTTGTGGATTTTATTTGTTTGTTTGATTTTGTCTTTGCCATGTATCATGATACTGGAAATAGACTTCTACTCCTGACTTCCTGATACAGTAAGGATACATTGTGGGTGCGTAGTTGAGAAGGCGAAAGTCCTGGTCAGTCCTACCTTTTAGATGTTGTTGCTAATCCAAGTACAGGCATCTATCAATTGAAGCAAATACTTAGTGCAAGTAATGGCAGGGGGAGATACCTTCTGTGTAACCTGAGGCCTTTTATTTAGAAATGCGTCAGGCTTTTTGGTGAAGCGTTTTTTTTTTTTTTTGGCCACAGCAGTCCATTCCATTAATTTAGTAGATGGCTAAATTTCTACCTTATGAGCAATTGGTCAAAATGGTCTCCCACAGGTGTAAATATGGAGTATTGAAGTAAATGGAACAGGTAGAGTTTTACCCAATGAAAATGATAGCAAAAGGCTGACTTACGTATTTTGCCTTTTTATTTATGTTAATCAAGTCAATTGTCCACACTGGAAATTTTCAGTTTTGTATGTTTGATGAACAATATATCTGTGCCTCTGAGACTGATAAATGGGAAGTATGGTGTTCTCTTCAATTATTGTTAATTGCCTAGATTATCCCTAATTAACTATTGGTAGATGTGATTTATGTTTGCTTTTTTTGTTATTTGCTAGAGCAAACTTTGCAAAGATATTCAGTCTTATCAATGCTGAGTAAAGCTTGGTGCACCAAAGTGTTTTTCCGGTTTAATTTTTGTCCCAGGACTAGGCCATTAAACTTCCTAATTCAGATGCAAATGGCTTGGAGCTGCTGTTTCTAAAGGATGAAGAGGAAGCACCTGTAATTCCCCTTCAGAGGTGACAGAGATGCATTTTGTAAACCTATAGACATGTTTAGCCATTCACCAATATTGCTTAACAAGACTAGAATTTAAATTCCTAATGGAAATGATGATATAGCCTTTCAGCTGTTTGTCTTAGCTCTGTTTTAAATGTTCTTGACTTTGTAGTAATCAAGATGCTTCAGAATGAGGAATTAATGGGAGCTATGGGGGCATAAATTCAATTTTAATATACTTCATTCTGACTAGTACAACTGTACTGATGTTTAAAAAAACCAAACTCAGGAATAACCCACAGACACGCCCTCTCCTCAAGTTATTTGAGACGGTCCATTGTACAAAAGTGAGTTTAAAGGTTTGCCCTTCACTCTGGCCAGTACTAGCACCTGAAATGAAAGGTAGAAATAGAAGCAATAATGCTATCCAGGATATACTGGTTCTATTTTCCATGTAATTTAAAATATATCTTCAAATTTTTGAAGTTGTTCCATAGTCTTCAATCTTTATAGATGTTTTAATCTTTTCAACATCACATTCAGTGTGGGCTTTCAACCTATTTTAAGAATCTACATACCACTCTAAGATGCAGGAAGTTAGTGTACTGCAGTTAATATTAGAAATAGAATGCCTGCTTGGCATGCCAAGCTTTTGCTTAGACTGTTCAAATGTACAACTTCAAGCATGTAAGGTAGCAGAAGTAACATTAACCCACGATGTTAGTGAAGTGTCTTGCATCTGGGGTGAACTGTATCCTGATAATGTTAAGCATGATATGTGATGAAAACATGGTAGCTGGGCATTCCAGCCTACCTGAGAAGTTACCTGTATTTAAACTATTTCTATGAACAGCTTTATAGATTGTTTGATTAATTCACATTCTTGTGTATCTGATGAAACAATAACATTTTCTGCACAAGAGAGAATGCCAATGCCACCTCTTATGCAATCTAGCAAATGCAAATGGTATATCCATGTCAAACTAGATTCTAGAAAATGCTGCTCTTTACTCAGTGCTTCATGCACATGAGTAACACTGAGGGTCAAGCTTTCCAAGAGCAATTGCCAGGGTGACACAAGTATGTATTAGTGTAGGTGTTTGCCTGTGAAAAATCAATGCTTTGAGCAATGACTTGTGCAAGCAGAGTATAAATCACCCTTTCAAACAGGTTTTATGTTGTTGTTGAAACAGTTAAATCCATCTGCTGACTAGTGATTGTCTTTTTAGAGGGGTTATTTATTCATTTCTTTATAAACTTTGGGTTGTAATATTCTGGTTTAAAACACCTGGTTTAAAAAGAACTTTTCCATTTGGTCGGTAAAGAGAAAAAGCAGCCCACGCTTTTTGTCCTCTTGTGTTGGTATCTTCATATGCCTCCAGTCTCCATGCTTTTTAAGGATCCTATTCCTAAGTAACCTTCCAATGAGGTTGCTTGGCTGAGTGATGTTTGTTTTTATCTGAGAGAGAAGTAGTATACAAGGCTGTTGGGTTTTTTTTGTGGAAGCTGTATTTTTTTCCACAATCCCTTTGCATATGATGCATAACCTATATGCTTTTACTGGTTTTATGTGAATCACATTTGGAGGAGAGAAGGATTAGAGGGAAAGAGAGTTATAGTGACTTTGTTCCATTGTTCATAGATTTAGTGCCATCACAAGAAGAGCTTTTGGTAACTTCAGTTACGTAATCATAGTGAGTGAGGCTTACTAGCCAAAATAGTTTTTTTACTTGACATGAAAGGAGGGATATCAAAATTAGCAAGAAATGTCTAAGACCAATGCTTTAGAGTAAAGCACTGAGTATTTTTGAATGATTAAGAAAGATTGAAGCTGGCCTTAGCCCCACATGTGTGAGATACCAAGGTTGTCAGACCAGGCCCATTCCTCTTCATTAATGCCCTTCTTTTTTGCACCCTACAAAGTAATTGAATGAGTATGAAAGTGTATTGATGTTTCTGGAGCATAGTCTGTAAACTAGGTTGGAGTGGCAGAACTGTTTTCCCTCACACCTGCTTGAATAGCATAGCAGAATAGTCATTAGAAGAGACTACTAGCAGAGCAAATGGCTAACTAAGTAATCCTTCCTTTATGGTGATGGCTTTATTCTGATGTGCTCATGAGCTGTTTGCACCCCAAACTTAGTTTGTGAGTCACTGAGCAGTTACAGCTCGTGCTCTACATTGCAGGATTCAGAGCCCCTGTTGGGAGATGACCCCTATTCCCT